ACACCAGGGAAGGCAGCTGGTTGCAAGCAGCTTTTTTTTTTTTTTTTTTTTTTAAGATTTATTTATTATGTATACAATGTTATACAATGTTCTATCTGCATATACACCTGCAGGTCAGAAGAGGGCACCAGATCTCATTATAGATGGTTGTGAGCCACCATGTGGTTGCTGGGAATTGAATTCCAGACCTCTGAAAGAGCTCTTAACCTCTGAGCCATCTCTCCAGCCCTGCAAGCAGCTTTTACCCCTGGGCTCTCTCCCAGGCTCATCACAGCTCTTAGGAGAGCTGAAGACCAGGTGAGGACTGCAGCTGGGCCTTCTTCTAGAGCTCCTCACTAAATTCTGTTCCTTTAGAGGTTTTTGCAGATCTATGCAGTGATATGCACAGGGCTCCATGTGCCTTTTACCTGCTTCCCAGTAGAGCCTCAGACAAAAGGTCAGCAGGTGCAGGGTCAAGCTAGGAGACTGACATCAATCTGCTTCAGCATTTAACACCCATTCCATTTCATAGAGGTGCAGGTCTCGTGTGCTTGCCTCCGCTTGCACTGTAGTGCAGCATCAACACAAAACCCCCCATCATCACGGCATCAAGTGCATCACACTGTGCAGCTGTGACTCTCCAGCTTAGGAACGTGTTTTGTTTCTAGATAGGGTTGATACGTAGTCCAGGATTAATCTTCTTGCCTCAACCTCCTAATTGCTGGGATCATAGTTTTGTTTCTCTATGCCTGGCTCTCAGTAAGGCTTTCATTTTCTCCCTGCTGCCTAATACTGGTCAAACATGAAGTTCTAAGTTGCTTTTCACACATGTAGACTCTGAGGACCTCTCCTGCTGCCTAGCCCTGACCACCCAGGCTGCTCTTCTAGTTCCAGTGGATTTAGACTGGGCCCTAAGTTCAATGAGTGGTATCATTAAAAAGCAAATATTGGGTGTGGTCTCCATACCAGTAATACCAGTACTTGGGAGGCTAAGGCAGGAGGATTATGCATTTGGGCTAGTGTGGGCTACATAGTAAGACCCTGTCCACAAAGGAGGGAGAGGGGAGAGGAAGATAGAAGGGCATGGAGGCAGATGACTGATCAAGATGGAAGCAGGGATTAGAATTATGCAGGCACAAGCCAAGGCCAGCTGGGCCAACTCTGAAATGGCCCTTTCCAGAATCTGAAGGAGCAAAGTCCTGTGCCACCCGGACCACAGATTTCTGGTCTTATTTTATGTGTAGATAGCTTGCCTCTGCCCCATACTACTCTTGGGTCTCTGTCTCTGTTGTGCTTCTCCAACAGAGGCCCAGGATGGGCTATATGCTGGGCACTGTGGTAGTTGAGATTGCAGACAGTGAGCTACAAGGCCCTTGAAGGCCCAGTCAGTACCTCCTTGTTGGTCAGGGCAGATACAGAGCACCTGAACAGGAAGCATGGGAGTCAAGCTATACTTACCAGCGGCAGCCAAGGTTCCGTGTCACCTGCCATCCGGGTGCCTGTGACTCACATCACCATGGAGGGACACCTATGAGGTTCTAATTGGTTGGCAAGCCTGAAGCACCCATCCCTTAGTTTGCCTAGGCATTTTCTGTTCCTGGGTAAAGACAAGTGCCTTCTTGCTTCTAGTTCAATTAAAAACAGGAAAGAGAGAAGGGTAAGCGGGAGAGGTACCTAGCAGTGGCTGTGAGGACAAGTGGATAGCAGGGATCCTTTTCCTGTGTGTTCCTGAAGCTCTACAGGAGCTGAGGCAAGGCCCCTGGAGCAAGTAGATGCTGTGGAGCAACAGTGGTAGGCCTCAGTGGGGAGCAGGCCCAAGCTGGGAAACTTGAGGGGAGGGCTCTGTACTCCAAACCTTGGGCTCCAGCCTCAGACCTGCTTCCAGAAAGGCCTGTGATCAGGCTGCAGCACATGCCCATATGCAATCACTGTTAGATGATTGTCAACAGGAGACAGATTGTCGAGCCTCAGCAAGGGCAGGCTAGACCACACATGCAAATGTGCCAGGAAAGAGCACCCAGGAACAGAGGGAAGCTGGTTTGCTGTGCTGTCTGAGAAATGTCACTAGTCAGTGGTGACAGATGTTGGAAGATGGGAAAAATCCAGAAACAGGAGAGAATGGGGGAGAACACAGGGCAGATGTGTGCTCCAGACAGCTCAGCCTGCCATGGCAAAGCAGCTCCTCCAATGCTCTCTATGTCTAGACTCTGGACTACTGTGGGAAGGGGTCAGCAATCAAATGGTCATCAGAAGCCCAAATAGCTCTTAGGAAATGGCCAGGAGAGAAGCATGGTGTCCAGCTTAAGGCAGGGCAGGGCTGGTATCTTTCAAGTGAAGAAGCCATACACCTGGGACCTGTCACTCTTATTCACCCTACACCCACATGCACTCACTAGGTGCTCTGTGGGGCTCAGACCAACTGAAGTTGCTGGGGAACAGCCTATTACCACAGGCCCTTCACTGGAGCCCCTGGTGCCTGTGGCCCTTCTGTGACTCAAGGCAGCAGTAGCTATCTCAGAAACAGGCACCTACCAAGCTGCTGCTGCACAGCCAGTTGTGGCGCACACCTTTAGTCCCAGTACTTGGGAGGCAGAGGCAGATGGATCTCGAGTTCGAGATCAGTCTGGTCTACAAAGTGAATCCCAGGCCAGTCAGGGCTACAGAGAAACCCTGTCTCAACCCTTCCACATACACACATGCCAAAGGGGGTGGGGGTGGGGGTGGGGGAGGCTGCTGCTGCACAGGTGACTGGCTATTATGGGCTCCTACTTGTATCAAGTCCAGAGGAGGTAGGTCTAGAGGAACAGAAGGTAGACTTGAGTTTAAGCAAGCAGGGGAGAGGAGATTGCCATTGTGGACAGGGTTTCTTCCTGGAATGGAATTATAAGGAAACAGGTAATGTGATGGTTTCACCACCTTGGAAGCCTTACACACATGTGGTGGCACACTATCATTCTTTTTTTCTTTTCCTTTCAAAATTTGAGATGGGATCTTATATAGCTCAGCCTGGCTTCAAACTGCATCTGTAATTAAGTTCAAAGACCTTTGAACTTCTGATCCACTTGCCTTCACCTTTCAAATACTGCAATTACAAGTGTGCACCACTCCTGATTGCTGCATATGTTTGCAGTGCTGATGGAGCTCAGACTTGTTATGCCAAGTTCTTTGCCACCATGGCATACCCCAACCTATATTAGCAAAACGTTTTTTCTTTTATCTCCTGAAACTGGAATTACAGACTGCTATCAGTTGCCATGTGGGTGCTGGGAACTGAACCCAGGTCCTTTCAATAGGCAGCTAGTGCTCTTAGCAGCTGAGCTGGCACTCTTCTGTAGAGGTGTTTCCCCTACATGTATGAGTGTACAATGTGTGTGCAGCAATCATGTGACTTTAAATGAGCTTCCTTATGAGCTGCATTCATCCCAGTGCCTTTGAGGGGAGACCAAGTCAGGTTTTTCTTTCTCCAAGAACACCAGCTGAGGAGGAAACCAGTTTCAGAAACACATCCCTCCTGGGGTGGTCCCAGGACAATGACACTCTGCAGCTGCAGCGTGGTCCTGGGGATGGCTTTCTGGTATTAGCCAGGATCTCGGCAGCCTGTGTGACTGAGTCCCGGCTAAGGTCTGGTGGTGGTTCCCAGGACATATAGCAGCTCTGAGGAGTCTGCCCACCCCCAGGTCTCCAGGCCCCAGGGAGGCATTTTGAGGTCTGCAGAGCAGTGGCCACAAAGATGAAAGCCAGTGGTGGATAATTAATGCTCTCAGACCTGGCCTGACTACAAAACCCTTTGCAGTGGCCTGAAAGAGAAAGCCACAGACATGAGACCCGCCCTGGCCTCCAGAACGCTAGGACCTTTGAAATTATAAGACATTAGAATAAAGCTTCTGGGAAAAGGACCCCATGTTCCAGCTGCAGATCAAAACGGAATTGCTCCTGAGAGCTGAGGGCAGGCTTGCTGTTTCAGCAGCCCCACCCCAATGCAGAGGGACTCGCCCGAGTGCCAGAAGCATGACTGACCTCACCCCAGGGCAGGGGTCTCTCCAAAAGATGAGGCCTCTCGTTTCCATCTATGTTTTCACTGTACTTCTCAGGGCCGTCAGGGCCACACTAGGGCATCAGCTTCCCTGGAGACATGCTCCCCAGCCTGGAACCAGCTGGGGTCACTTTCTAGCGTGCAATGCCTAGAGGAGCAAATCGGTCCGCTTGGTGAGAAGAAAAGGCTGGTGCTAACTCCTGACTCTTCAGGTAAGTCTTGGTGAGCTGAGCCTTTGGTCAGGGCAGGGCAGAGTGGTTGCAGTCCTTGTCACCAGAGACAGGTTGCCTGCCATTCTTTTCTATATCCTGCTAAGCTGAGGCCACCTATCAGGAACAATGCCAGCAATTTAAGGTTCACATTTCCTTTGGTTGACAACTTGCTGGCGCATCCTTGATGCACAGTCAGAGGCTGCGTGCCTGGGTCGGATATTGGGTGCACTCAGTCGTGAAGCAAAGGCTGCCTTGGTGTTCGGCCCCCACAGAGCTCAGAACAGCGTTCTGGGAACATCAGGGAAGGAGCTGGCCCTCACTGTTTCCCTCAGTCAGCTGGCACTGGAGAACAACATATGGCCATTGTACCCTGCGTCCCGGCCATGCTGGCAGAGGCTAGTGTGGGGCCCGCTGCTCTGCAGGACTGTGGGCAGACCCAACACCACAAGGAAACCAAGAGCTGCTCTGCCACAAATGCTGCCATGCGTGAGAAGCCCAGCCATGGTTCTGCCGCTCTGCTGCATTTGCCCAGGCCGCCTGGCAGCAGTGTTTGCTACCTTCAGCCAGCAGCACTGTCCTCCTACTAATGAGGTGTTAATTAGCACAAATGAGTCAACCCCAGCATCCAGTCAGCAAGGGTGACAGGCACACCAAGCACAGAGAGCAATTTGGGTACCAGGTGGCACAGAATATTCCATCACTCGAGGCCAGAGGGTAGGGGGCACTTTAGGAGAGTGCCCCCAAAAGGTGAGAAAACAAAGACACAGACACTCTCATGTATTTGCAAGGACTTTTTCTCAGTGTTCCAGCTGCCTGCATTTTACAAGAGGGATGCTTTTGCTTCCTGTGACTGGTGGCCCATCCCTGTCTCATGCTGGCTGGCCCTGGGGCACATAGCCCTGTGCCCACTACCATCTGAAAGGCTGGCAGTCCTGCTCCAGCTCAGCTTCCATGTGGGCATCGTGTAGCACCTTCAGGTGTAGAAGCAGCTGCTCCAGGTTCTCCCCAGTCAGTGCTGACAAGGCGATGACCTCCTGGCCTAGGTGGGCCTGGAGCTGAGGCAGGTGGGCCTTGGCCTGCGGGAGATCTATCTTATTTGCAATGATCACATGGGACCTCTCGGACAGGCCTTCTTCATACTTCTCTAGTTCATATTTTAAGTCATCAACCTGAGTCCATGGCTCAGGCAAGGAAAGATCTACCACAATCAGGAAGAAGCGGCAACGCTCAATATGCCTGAGGAAGCTGAGCCCCAGGCCCTTGTTCAGGTGTGCGCCTCGGATGATGCCTGGGATGTCAGCCACTGCAGGAGGTAAGAGCTTACAGTTAGGCCAGGGTCATGCTCCTGGCTTCCCAGTGCCACTCTCAACCTTGGGATTAGGAGATTCCCCTTAGGGAGACCTTTTCTGGCCCAGATCTCATGTGCTACAACTTTCAAGGAACACTTGAAATTGAAGCCATTCATCCACCCCCAGGTGACTCAGCAGGCCAAGTGACACTGAGGCACCTCAGCCCTCAGGTCTGCAAAATGCTCTGAAATATTTGGGTGACAGGCACGGTGGATCAATCTAATGAGGAAGATTTAACACATTCTTGTCTCCCAGGCTTCAAACATGGTTCAAAAAAGGGAGATGGCTCCCTGCATTCTATGGATAATTTGATTATGGATACAAATCACTATCGTGCACTTTGCAGATATAAAGTGCTGTACGAATAACCTTACCAGCAGGCTTGCTATTTTTAATGGGTACATTATCTTCTGGAAAAAAGTTTTCCTCTTAAAATGGTACAGGAAAGGCTTTTAAAACCACATGCTGTCTGCATGACTGATGCCGTTCAGTTCCACAGGAGAAAATGAGGAAGGCAAGAGGCAGCCCTCTCCTCAGGCTCCAAACTCAAGATTACAATTCCCAACTGAAGAGATCAGATTTCTTGGCTGGGAGGGGAGGGATGATTTTGACAGAGAACAGACTCATTAACATTGTTTCAATCAGGGAAAACAATGTCTCATATTAAGTGGGAAGCTAAACTCAGAGGTTACATAATTGCTCTCCTGAATCACAGGGCCATTTAAACCCATCCTCTGGCAGGGTTTTGGAGGTTCTACCTGCTACCTGTTGGTGGCCTTCATAGTGAACAATCCCCACGTGTGGGTTCAAGGTGGTGAAGGGATAGGAAGCTACAGCAGGTTTTGCATTTGAAATGGCTCGAAGAAGAGAGGATTTCCCAGCATTGGGAAAACCAACCTAGAAAAAAAAAAAGCAAAAGTACTATATGACCTCATGGAGGGACAAATGCCACCAACAGCATACACATGGGGAATCAAATAGAAGTTAGCATCCTTTCCTGGACAGCAGCATGCCCTACCATCAGGGACCCTCCACTTCAGGGACCTACCATCCCAGCATGGGCCATTGTCTTGAGCTCCAGGTGGAGAACCCGCTCCTGACCTGGTTGTCCAGGAGTGCAAGTTACAGGGGCACGGTTGTCATTGGCCAGAAAAAAACGATTGCCTTTTCCTCCTGTACCTCCCAGTGCAGCGAGATACTCGTCTCCTGGGTGAGACAGGTCAGCCACGATCTCACCTCCTTCTTTCACCAAGGTACCCATAGGGACCTGAAAAGAACCACCACCATCACCACTGCCACCCCAGTCCCCCATCCCTCACCACCACCACCACCACTGCCACCCCAGCCCCCCTCTCTCTCCACCACCACCACCACCACCCCGCTATCCCCACCAAGTTCTGTTCTGTAAGTAGCCAGTAAGAGGAGGGGTGGAGCACTACTTATTTCTTTATGTTTGTTTTTTTGGAGACAGGGTTTCACTGTGTAGCCCTGGTTGTCCTGGACTCATTTTGTAGACCAGGCTGGCCTTGAACTCACAGAGATCCGCTTGCCTCTGCCTCCCCCAGAGTGCTGGGATTACAGGTGTGTGCCACCATACCTGGCTGGGCGGGGCACTGCTAATCACTCTCTTCAGCTACAGCACAAAGAAAACGTCCCAGTCCTGAAGAGACTTTATGGAGCTAGTTATATACCTAATACTGTGTAAGTGAGCTGTCATGGTAACACTTGCCTTCCAGCACTCGGGAGGCTGAGGCAGGGGGATTACAAATTCAAGGACAGCCTGGATCACACAGTGAGACCCTGTCGCGCCACACACCCACTTGCACACAGGGTTCTTCTGAAGTATTTCCACAGTATCAGACTCAACCAAGCACCAGGGAAACAACACGGGAGTGCGCGACCCTGTGTGGGTGTTGCTCTCGCCTAGACATGGGAAGAAGGTATCTTCCTGGCTCCCTCTTTAGAGTCACTCCTCTAGACCCTTGGGTCAGAAGCAACATGGCATCATACCAGTGCAAAGGCATTTGTATGGGAATATGACTCTTAAGACAGACCACTATCCACTTCTGTGTCCAGCCAAGTGCCTTTAGTTACTCCCGAACTCAGTGACTAGGACCTGAGGGAACAGTGCCCACTCCAGCTCTGCAGCTTACCTTTATGTAGAGGGTGGCACCACCTCGTCCAAAGCAGTTTTTACTGCCACCATCTTCTCCACTGAAACCCTGATACTGGGACAAGACTGAGGACAGGGACTTGACTTGCTGGTCAACTAGAGTGAGAACAAAATCTCATGTTCCTTTGTGTTAAGACACAGCCAACACAGCTGCTGAGCAGAGAACAGTGGCCTCACATACATCTGTCACCCTTGCTCTTCCCTGGCTTGGGTATACGGCTGGCCACCCTCACCCTTTGTTATACTAACCAACATAGAATATAGAATATGACCTTTTTTTTTTTTTTTTTTTTTACTTTTTGGCTTTTTTCAAGACAGAGTTTCTCTGGGTAGCCCTGGCTGTCCTAGAACTTGATTTTAGATGAAGCTGGCCTCAAACTCACAGAAATCTGCCTGCCTCTGTCTCCCAAGTGCTAGGATTAGAGGCATGCACCATTACTGCCAAGATTTTTTTTTTTTTTGGGGGGGGGTTGTTTTGTTTTGAGACAGGCTTTCATTATGTACCCTGTAGCTCTGGTTGGCCTGAAACTTGCCAAATTTGCAATAAGAAAGCATCACCACTTAAAGTGAGTGTGACTATCATCAATCACACACACACACAACCTAAGGGCCTAAGAAGATGGGGCAATGCCTGCTCTTCTAGAGGACCCAGGTTTGATTCTTAGCACTAACAGCAGCTTACAGCTGTCAGCAATTCTAGTTCCAGAAGATACGATGGCCTCTGCAGGGTACACATGTGGCACATACATATCCACTCAGGCACAGGACCTCCACACATAAAGTAATAAAAGAAACCAGCTAACTTCACTATGCTATGAAGATACTTGCACCCAGCTCCCTGAGTATTCATGCCAAGCACAGGTTCAATACAACCTGGTCCCTCTGCTGCACATTCTCACACTGTGACATGGGCTGATGGGAAACAATCTGTATTTCTGAGATTAATAATAAAATGACACCCAAAGTCTCTTGCCTCGGTACACTGATGATGAACACTCACATAATTTCTAAAAATGCTGTCTACACAGCAAGTTTGAATGCAAATGTATGACAAGATAAGACGGTGTAATCATCTTTTCCCCAGTTATTCCAAGAGCACATGCCTTTCAGGATGATATGTCCACCATTTCCTCCATCCCCACCATCAGGGCCTCCAAACTCCTTGCGGGGCTCACTGTGGAAGCAGCTCATGCCAGAGCCTCCATTTCCTCCACGGACCAGCACTCTCCGGTGATCCACAAAATGCCTTTTCTACAGAGAGCAAAAGGTACCAGAGGATGTTAGCAGCCCTTAAGCCCTTCCAGGAGGCTCAGACACATTAGCTTGCTACATGCCTCTCTACCAACACCAGAGGCTAACCTCAGGGCTCTCCAAAAGCCACAGGTAAGACTCAGCTCTTACAGCTTACCTATACCTGAGGGCTGATGTAAATCACTTCAGACAAAACAGGTGGCTGGGGTGGTACGCGCGCTTCAAAACAGAATGCAGCAATTCTAACCTAGAGAGCACAGCTTGTTTAGGAAATGTTCCCTGAACAAAGTGTCCTTCCAGCTTCTTTCAAACAAAATTGCATTGCTAAAATACCAGCTCTGTCTTTACCAGTGGAACGCTGTGGCCGCTTAGGATGGAATGAGGTGGAGTCCTTGGACAATGCCCAGGCTTTAGCTATGAGGAAAGACTACTTTCCATGGTACTACCTGAGGACTTATTTGTGAAATACAGAAAAGCAGGCATGACCCTCCTCAGGAGGGCTCTCTTTAGGCCCTTAATGCAGAACACAGTGAAAGGATAAGAATTAACCAACTGGGCTAGAGACAGGCTTCAGCAGTTAACAGCACTTGGTATTGCTGCAGAGGACCTGGGTTCGATTCCCAGCACCCACATGGCTTACAAACCTCTGTAAAACAAGTTTTGGGTTCTTTGTATGTTATATAAATATGCTTTTGTTTTAATCCCAAGTGTGGGATTTTAGTTGGGGTACAGTTTGTCCACACCTGTTAATTGTCTCACGCGGTGTGTGATCTTTGCTAGCTGGTTAACAGCCTTCCGCATGCTGCACAGAGGGACGTGGTCTAGGACTCTGAGCATAAATAGGAGGCTGAGAGAGACCGTGGAGTGTTCTGGAGTGGTGTTCAGTGTGGCATTCAGTGTTGGCGTGTGATGTGAAGCAGTTTGGAGAGACTAGAGATAGTGTGGTGGCTTGAAGTAGACAGACGGCGAGAAATGCTTGGGGTGCAGCAGCGTGGAGACTGCTGGCTGTGTCTGAGGTTCACAGAGATTGGTGTAGAGCCCTAAAAGAACCCCTTGACTCTAAATAGCCGGGAGAAGTAAAGGGGTCTGGGTCCCATCTACCCATGAACCTTTTCTCTCTTCTACTTAAGGTTGGGAGTTCAGTGGAAAGGAAGTAGAGGCCTAACCACCCCAAATAAAGTAGAGTTAAGAAAAAGGCTGCCACGGGTGCCTTTGTGCTACAAACATCTGTAACTCCAATCCCAGGACATCCAAAGTGCTCTTCTAGCCTTTGTGGGCACCAGGCACGCAGGCGGTACACATATATATATACTGGCAAAACACTCACACATATTAGTACACATCAGCTCATACTTCAGCTATACTTTCCTTTTTCCATCCCCAGCACTGGATTTTAAAAATACTTTATTATTTTTGTGTATGTGTGTGTGTCTGAATAAATGCGTATGTACCGTGTGTATGCAATGCCTGTGCCAGATCCCCTGGAACTGGAATTACAGGCAGTTGTGAGCTACTCTGTGGCTGCTGAGAACGAAAGCAAGTCCTCTTGAAGAATAATAAGTGTTCTTAACCACTAAACCATTACTCTAGTCCCCAGGATTGGATTGTTTTTAAGAAAAAAAGAAGCCCAGCCTGGTGTAGAGCTCAGCAGTACAGCATTAACTCACAACGTGCAAAGTCCTGCAAGGCGCTGGATTTGATGCCTCATACCACAAAACAAATATAGAATCCCCCAAACCCTAGGATTCCTTGCAGTACCATGAAAAAAAAACCCCCACAAGCTGCTACTTAAAAAACAATGCAAACTGCACTGTACCAACCAAAACAGAATCCACCTCACAGGGAAAAGCACAGGTTGGGCACCATCCGCAAGGACCCAGCATAAGTATGAGCCGCCAGGAAGGGCGAGCCCTGAGCTCCATGCTGAGTCCCTCAGCCTGGCTACCAAAGTTCTTTTCCCTAAGAAGCATGCCTTTTTCTCAGCTGCTCATCTGGAGCGCCTCCATTGAGGTAGAAACAAGGTGAGTCCTAATGTGTAACTTCTTTAGTCAAAGATTATCAAAGAATAGCCTGTGGCAGTGGTGCGCATGCCTTTAGTCCCAGCATTTTGGAGGCAGAGGCAGACAGATCTCTGTGAGAGGCTAGCCTGGTCTACAGAGTGAGTTCTAGAACAGCCAGGACTACACAGAGAACTCTGTCTTGAAAAAACAAAAACAAAACAAGACCATAAAAGGTTCTGGCAAGCAGAACAGAAACTCCCTGTAAGGGCTAGGGAACGAGAAAGTATGCCTCAAGCGTGCAACAGCTTGGGTTTGATTCCTCGGAGCCCACATTAAAGACCTTCTGTGGTGGCATGTGACACAGAGCTGTATGGCAGAGAGCAGGGGACAGGGGTGGCTCACTGGACAGCCTAGCTACTACGGCTGGTGAGACGTAGGCCAGCATGAGAAGCCCTGTCTCAGGTCCTAAGGGTGACACACAGACTGTCCTCTGGTCTTCATATACGTACTTACAAAGGTACCTGCACACACACGTACCTCCCTGCATTAAACAAATGAACAACAAACCAACCAATAACATCTTGTTCATCATAAGCCTTAAAGAACTTAAAACTACAGATATACCCAGTCCTCAGGTTCAAAACAGAACACGAATTAAAAAACAGCTAACTGCAAATAATAAAGGAAATGCTCGTAAAAGTACTGTTAGGAGAACTGGGCATGGTAGTGCATGCCTGTAATCTTTCCACAAGGAAGGTGGAAACAGGAGGATCAGGAATTTAAAGGGTACCTGGATGACATTAGCTCCTGCTTCAAAAAAGTTAAATAAAGTTTTAGGGCTGGGATTTATTTCAGTGGTAGAGTACTTCAGTGGTGGCAAAAAGCCCTGGGTTCTATCCCAATACCCCAATGAATCAACCCAATCTGGCCGTAGCTCCACCTGGGCTGATGTGTTGCTGACAAGCCTTTGGTCCACAGGCCCCTCTTCCAGAGCTCCATTCATTCCTCCATAGCAGTCAGGGCAAGCCGTGGTGGATAAAGAATGCAGAGGCTGGTGCTGGAAAGATGGCCCAGCAGTTAAACAGTTCTTGCTGCTCTGACAGAAAACCCAGGCTTGGGTCACAGCATCTACATCAGGCAGTACACAACTGTCTGTAACTCCAAGGGATCCGACCCTTTACACCGACCTCCATGAGTACCCTCCATCTCCCCACACACAGAAAGAAAGACGGTGAGAGGGAGGGAGAGAGAGGGAAGGGGAGGGAAGAAACTCAAAGGTGTCCTCCCTGGGCTGACACTTACCAGTTTTTTCTCTGACAGTAGCTTCTTTCCAGGGGCCTCCCGGTGCTTAGCATGGCTTACAAAGCCCAAGGAGAGCAATCTAGATGATGCATGCAGTGGAAGGAGCTGGCTGGGCTTGAGGCCAGCCCATGTGGATGAAGCCCACTTTGAAACACCCTCCAACACAGTGGAAGACCTTGCCAGAAGCATGGTAGGTATCACGGCCCTAACAAAAACATCAGAAGGATCCAGTAAGACACTTGTGTTAAACATGAACTTCAGACTATAGCTAGAGCAGCGCCTGGCACACAGCAGAATCCGGAATGGTGTCAGAGAAAACAAGTAGACCGAAGAACTGATCTGTTGGACCCCAGAGTGCATGGAGCTTCTAGTGTCCACCAGCATATCCTCGTTCAGGACAGCATCTGTGCACACAGGATTTAGATAATTAAGTCTCTTGCAATGGTGACTGAATCTCCCTGGAGAATACAAGGTACCTGCTTGGTGAGATTATTAAAAGGGAATTTAAACCTCAAGTCAGAACTCCAAAGTAAAAAAACACTCATTTGCTAAATTGTTACTGAAGAGTGTGCTCTTGGGCAGCTTAAACCTATTAAACTGGAACACAAGAATACCAAACAATGGCACCCACACACCCAAAGGTCACCTTTGCAACTGCTGCCTCAGTCTCCTCACCTGAAAGTGAAAAGGCCGGGCAAGGACAGGCCAACCCACATGGGTGCACCACAGCTTCTGTCCTACTGTGAACACAATGAGCAGTATCTGTGTGGTCTCAGTCCTCTGTTCCTCACACAGCTCCACACAGCTCCCATCCTTCTAATTTCCTGAGAGATGAGAGTGATGGGGCATCTGACCCAAAGCCACCGAGCCAGAGTGGCCTCTGCTCTAATGAGGTGACGTGCGCTCCTGCAGCCTCAGGGTGGGGACTGGTTTCCACAAAGAACAGCCAGCACTGAAGCCTGAACTTCCACCACATAGTCTGCAGCACACGGAGGCAGCTAGGGACATAAAGGTATGCCCCTATGAGAGCACATCCACAAAACCTTAGGCTATGGGAGAACTGGGCCATACTCTGCCTCCACAAGGAAGAACACTCCTGGGTGCCGGCCTTTCTGCCTGGCTACTTCATAAGGACCTAGGAAGGCACCTTAAATCCTGCTCCTCCATACACCACCAGTTTATTATTTTATGCACATTCTTCCTAGGTCAGTGCATAAGCTATTGGCAGTACTCAGTTTGAGACTCCAAATGATTGTAGTGTGGCCAGCAGAAGTCTAGCCTGGAGTTTCAGGTCCTCCTGGCTTGTGCTGTGCGTCTCAGAACAATGACCCTAGCCAAGTCTTCCACTAGCACAGCCCTGCAGACAGCCTCACCTCTAGAAACCATCAGACCCTTATCTAGATGCTGTGTGACACTGCTGTCTCCAGACCTTTGATGGATACAGCTGGGAATGCACAGACACCCTTGCTCCCCCCTCCTCCCCCCACGTTCCATTTTTACACCTTTAGTCAGGTGTATACCTGCACCTGTCTGCCTGCAAACATACCCTCATGCACACACACACAACACAGTACTGTGGGAAATTAAAAGTTCACATAGTGTGGTGCTTTGAATGAAAATGGCCCCACAGACTCAGGGAGTAGCACTATGAGGAGGTGTAGCCTTCTTGGAGGAAGTGTGTCCCTGGTGGGTGGGCTGTGAGGTTTCAGAAGCACGAGCCAGGCCCAGTGGTTCATCCACTTTTTCTGCTGCCTGTAGATCCAGACACAGAACTCCCAGCTACCTCTATAGTACCATGTCTGCCTGCATGCCACCATGCTTTCCACCGTGCCAATACTGGACTAAACCTCTAAACTGTAAGCCAGTCCCAATTAAATGTTTTCTTTTTTAAGAGTTGCTGTGGCCATGGTGCTTCTTCACAGCAACAGAAACCTAAGAGACACAGACACATCCAGTCCTGTAGTCTATTCTAGTGTCACTTAGATGTTCTTTCTGTCTTGGTAGCTTCCTTTCTCCTTATAGTTTTTCTTTACGTGTCCAGTAACAAGCCCAGCCTCACGGCCCTTCCCCTCCTCTCCTCATGCTGGGCCACCACTCCATGTGGACACCCTCCTCCTCCTATCCCCACCCCCTGCTTTCGTCAGGGTTTCTCCGTATAGCCCTAGTTGTCCTGGACTCACAAACCAGGCTGGCCTTGAATTCACAGAAATCCGCCTGCGTCTGCCTCCCAAGTGCTGGGATTAGAGGTGTACACCACCACGCCTGGCATTATCTCTCTTATTAAAGCTTTTTTATTTTTTAATTTTAAAAAATGAATTACTTAAAAATTTATTACTTTATTTTGTTCTAGAAGTATGGGTGTTTTGCTTACCTGTATGTGTATGTACATGTACACCAGTTCCTGTGGATGCAGAAATGGATATCAGATCCCTTGAAACTGGAATTACAGACAGTTGTGAGCTGCTAGGTGGGTCCTGGGAATGAAACCCTAGTCTTTGTTTTGAGTTGAGGTTTCTCTGTGTAACAGCCTGGACTCACTTTGTAGACCATGCTGGCCTCGAACTCACACAGATCTGCCTACCTCTGTACCTCTACCAGAGTGCTAGGATTAATGGGGTATACCACCATGCCCAGCAGAATCCTAGTCTTTTAAGAACAGCCATACTTTTAACCACTGAGCCCTCTGAAAATTTTTTTTGTTTTTGTTTTAATTTCTCCCAATGTCAGGGACTGGACCAGGGCCCATGTACTCAAGGAAAATAGCCTACCACTGAGCTACAAACCCAGCCCTCCTATGAAAGTATTCTTTTTAAAGTAAATTACTTTGGAACAACTAGAGTTACAGAGAAAGGACAAAGGAATTCCTATATTCTTCACATGTGATACTCTGAAACTCAATAGCTTGTGTGAAATGGACATATCTTTTCTTTTTTAAAAAATTATTTTGTGAGATAGGTTTTTTTTTTTTTTTTTTTTTTAAAGACTGCAGGTTTTTGTAGGACTAAAGGTGTGCACCACCACCACCTGGCAACTAAAAGGACATATCTTTAAAGATTCGAACAAACAGCCTTACATCTGCTCAAGAAATCATATTTTCTAGAAAACGATACTCCCAAACTTGAGACTTGGTAGTACATTCCTGGTAAATGCTATCAAGAAACAACTCCAAACTTAGATATACGAGATCACTATCCAATCAACTTTACAAGGTTGGTGTGGTTCTAGACCAAAACCTAGCTTTCACATGAAGCAAAATCAAAGGCCAGTACCCCCAGGACAACATGCTGCTCTGAGGACCTGGACTAGTAACTAGCAGGGTCTGCTATGGGAGCACAAAGGTGCCTCTGCAGCTGGATCCTGGCTGGTGTGCTATGGCACATGGTTGGGACCTTCTTGACACCCAGTATGGAAACCAATGCTTCAGCAAACAGGATAGAAAAGGAATGTCACTTGGCACAGGGCAAGTGGCCAGACCTAAGCTGATGCCACACTTTATACAGGAAAGCATGAGTGGTATCTCTGAGACCTAGGGAAGGCAGAAATGCCCATGAGCATGCTTTAAAAAAAAAAAGAGGAAGCTGTGGGGCTAGAGATGGCTGAGCAATCATGAATGTGCACTGCTCTTGCAGAGGACCCAATTGAATCAGGCAGCTTAACCATTTGTAGCTCCAGGTCCAGGAACTCAAACACCTTGTACTAAGCTCCACACAAATCTGCTCTTTGCATATACACCCACAGGCAGACAGACAAACATACATATAAAAATTAAAAAAAAAAAAAAAGTTTTTTTTTTTTTCTTTAAGAGGAGAAGTTAAAGTGCTAGTGCTTGCAGGGGAGAAGACTGACCACACACACACACAAAACAACAAAACAAAACAGGGAAATTCATAAAACAACATACAGGGTTTAGAATATCAAGTATTCTTATATGCCAGCTGCAAACAACTAGAAATTAAAGCTACAAAGCAATCCCTTTGCTAGTCATGGTGGTGCACACCTTCAGTCCCAGCACTTGGGAGGCAGAAGCAGACAGATATACCTGAGTTTAAGGCTATCCTGGTCCACAGAGAGAGTTCCAGGACAGCCAGGGCTGCACAGAGAAACCCTGTCTCAAAACAAAAAGAACAAAAGAAAAGAAAAGAGGGGGGCAATCCTCTTTATCCAGTGCCAAATATGAAAAGCACTTGAAGGTAAATTAAAAATACATTTAAGAGAAGTATTTTATGAGGGGCTAGAGAGATGGCTCAGCAGTTAAGAGCACTGGCTGCTCTTCCAGAGGACCTGAGTTCAATTCCCAGCACCCACCATAGCAGCTCACAACTGTCTGCAACTCCAGTTCCAGGGAATCTGACACACATGCAGGCAAAACAGCAATGCAAATAAATTTTTAAAAATTTAAAATTATTTTACGAGTGTTTTGCTCACATGCGTGTATGTGTACCACACGAACACCCAGGGCCCCCGTAGGCCAGAGGTGGGCATCAGATTCCCTGGAGCTGGAGTTTTACATTGCCGTTTTGGGAACTGAATCTGGGTCCTCTGCAAGTGTAACACGTGTGCCTGACCACTGTATCACCACTCCAGCCCACCTGAAGATAAATTAATATCACATGAGCCAGATGTGGTAGCTTATGCCTGTAATCCTGGCATGTGGAAGCTGAGGGAAGAAGGCGTTCCTTGATTTTGAGGCCAGTCTCAGCTATGTAAAGATTTCCATGTTCTAGACTACAGACTAAGGGTATCTACATAAACAAAGCAGCCAGGTCTGTTGGTGTGGCGAATCTCCATAGCTTTGGTTTCAGCACTGCAGGATAGAGGCAAACAGTTCTCTGTGATCCAGGCCAGCCAAGGCTATATGGTGAGACCTTGTCCCAAAACCATCCCCCCCACCCCCCTAGCAATGGAGACGTGCAGGCAGTTCAAGACTAGTCTCAGCAACACAGTGTCAGGCCAACCAGAGATACCAGAGACACTGCCTCAAAAACCAACAAACCAGTCAAACCAAACAAAGCAAGTGGCAGCCAGCTGTTCCAGCCCTACTGTACAACTTGTAGAATTCTGTTCCTGTTAAAGTGGTTTCCTGGAATTAACTCATTCTGTCTACATAAAAATTCCATGAAGCAAATTCTTTCATCAATCCCATTTTACAGTGGAAGACACTGAATCAAAGAACAAAAACATAACCCATCAAGGTCCTGAGCTACTACACGGGAGGGTAGGAATGTAGTAGGAACACAGTGGGGCAAGGAAAAAAAAGCGTAACTCCTGGCTCTGCTGTGGGCACTTGCAGGCAAACTGGCAGCTAGATCTGGGAGGCACAGGCTGTTCATCATCCCAGCACTGCTGGAGCCAAACCCAAAGGTCAGGAACAGCTGCAAAGCCACCTGGAGCCCTGACTCAGAATTGGGTCTGCTTTAGCATATTTTCTTTTTTCTGTGCTTCCTGTTTTTTCCCCTTTTTTTTGGGGGGGGGGGGTGGGGGGGGGTGGTTTTGGGACAAGGTCTCACCATATAGCCTTGGCTGGCCTGGATCACAGAGAACTGTTTGCCTCTATCCTGCAAGTGCTGAAACCGAAGGTGTGTGCCACCACAGCCCACTCCTTTTCCCATTTTCAATTTGTGTGTAGACTCTGAGTGATGTGGCTCCCTGCCAGTGAATAAATTCAATGTCTTTCCCATTGCTGTTCAGTCTCTAATTGTCTCCCTAACGCTATTTCTGCACTGTCTCTTCCAGTGTCTACTATCCACCTGGGACTGGCAAAGATAAATTTAAATAAAATGGGGGCTGAGGAAATGACTCAGTGGGCAAGAATCCGTGCTGTGTAAGCATTAAGACTTGTGCTGGGACTCCACCATTCATTTAAGAAGCTGGGCTGACCACGTACCTGTAACCACACATACTACAGGGAGGCTGAGATACGAAGATCCATGGGGCTTTGCTGGCTGCCTGGCTGGCTCCAGACTCAGTGAGAAACCTGGCTACAAAGGAATAAGAGAGTGACAGAATAAGAATTAGGAAGGTCGAGCAGGACACCTAATGTTCTCTTAGCCACACACGTGCACGTGAGTGTGGAGATGCATGAGCATGCACACTCACGAAATAGTAAATAAAGTCTAAGTACCTAGTTCTTCAGTACTACACGTAGGGCTACACCAGGCGGGCTACATCAGGACACTGCCATCTCAGAAAGTCCTAGTGGGCAGGTAGCTGCACACACACACACACCAGCAGAGGGAGCCTAGAGGAGTGTGCTCGCTTCCCTTCTAACAGTGCCTTTGCTGGGCCAGGAAGTCAATCAGGGTCTGGAGCCTGACAGCCAGATGGTGCTGCAGTGTGAAGGGCTTCACACCACACACGGGTCATGTCACTGCTGCTACGAAGGTTGCTGAGCTCCTGGCTACTGTCCACAAGAGGTACTCCTAGGAATCTTCTGTACTGATTGCAGCTCAACTGACTGTATAGCTAGGGTTAGAAACATATGCCACAGATACCTCCACTGAAAACAACAACAACAAAAGACAATGCATCCTGGGAGAGGGGATACAGCTCACTTGGTAGAATGCTTGCTTTCCTATCACACACAGAGCCCGGGGTTTGACCCCGAGAATCACATAAACCAGGCATGCCAGCATTTACTTGTATCTGTAGCACTCAGGAAGTGGAGGCAGCAAGATCAGAAAACCCAAGTCATCCTCTATTGCATAGCAAGTTCAAGGCCAGACAGGGAGAGATACATGAAAACCTGTATTTTACAAAAGAGAAAGGAGGGGTTGGGAACTTAGCTCAGTGGTAGAGCAAGTGCAGGGCAGCACTCAGGAGGCTAGCAGATTTCTGTGGGTTCCAGGCCAGCCTGGTCTACAGAATGAGTTCCAGGCAGGCCTAGGCTATACAGAGAAACTGTCTCAAAAAAAAAAAAAAAAAAATGTTGAGAAATGTTTCCATTTCTTCAGTGTTGTTCTTTTATAGGATAACCACCTGAGAATGCTGTATGCTTACCCAACACTTATCCTTCAATTGGTTCATAGTATTTACACTTAACTAACTTCATTCTAAGCATTTGTTTTCACTTTGCTACAGGAATATTAAATCCCCGCAGGGGCATTACTGTTTCTGCTACATACTGTTACACTTCATTACATATATTTGTGATCTATTTTGTTTTTCATGTGGAAAATATTTAGAAACCAGAGTACCATTTTGCCACTTGACAATTCACATTTCATGTTTTTTTTTTTCACTTAATTACATGTCATTCATAGAGAAAAATGTGTCCCTGCTGTGTGTGGTGGCATATGCCTTTAATCCCAGCACTTCTGGAAGCCAGCCAGGGTTACATAGGGAGAGCTCGTCTCAAAAACAAAATAAACCATGCGTTCCTTTCAACAACGCTGCTGTCTGGCGCCTGCCCTGTGGGGCCTTGTCAGACAGGCGGACTGGAGGGACAGGTGACCCCTCCCCAAGCATTCACAGTCCCCAGGCTGGTTCACAGTGCTGGCAGGGAAGCCTGACAGCTCCGTAACTGTTCCCGCGCTAGTCCTTTTTAGGATCCTGAGTACAGGAACAGCAGGAACAAAGCTATCTGCTCTGGCAGAGCACCAGCCCAGACACATCTCTATTCCGCACAGTGTGCGGAATATTTCTTTACCTGATCTTTATAAATAGTGGAGGCTGGGACTCAGGGTACACCCCGCGGCTCCCACAGCTTACAAGCGAGCCTCTACCGAAGGATTTCCAAATGAGTTGGGCAAGGGGAAGTTTTTTTCACTGTTTTCCAATCATGGTCTCGCTATGTAGCCTAGATGGGCCTCGAATTCCTCCGGTTTCAGTTTCCGGTGTGCTAAGATTGCAGGCATGAGCCACCACGCTCTAGCTAAGCACAAATCTTTCAGAACACAACCTTCTGTGGCTCAGGTCGGAGGCTCTCCTCATTAGAGTGTAAGCCAAAGCACTCATTACTCGCCGCCAGCTAGCCCGCCGCCCGTGGCCGTATAACGCACCCCTGGGGATCGCCTCATCCGGATCCACCGGCTCCCGGCAGCTACCACGTCCGGTCGCTGGACTACTTCCGGGGCGGGCTCCGACCGAGCCTGCGCAATGCACCGGAAGGCGCGGCGGCACCGCCCCGAAGCCCGCGATGCGTCTGGCTCCGAAGCATGTCCACCATCCCGGCACCCAAGGAGCCGAGGCAGAAGGATCGCCATGAATTCCAGCGCTGCCTGGGATACACAGTGATCCTGTCTCACAAAACCAGGAAAAAGCCAGGTGGGGTCGCACGCCTTCAATTTTAGCCTTGGGAAACAAGACTGGGGACTCTGTGAGTTCCAGGCCAGACAGGGATACACAGAGTCTCTTGTCTAAAAACAAAAACTAACCAAACAGAAAAGGGTGAAAATGAGATTGTTTTAAAAATTGTACTTCGTTCACAAGTGACAAGACAGATTTAACCTGTTCAATAAACAGAAATGAACGGCTTAAAAAATGTTTTAATGAAAATGGAAAGTCTTCCTCTTTTTACAAGTTTGAATGTACGCTCCTTTCTGAAGCCCACGCCTGAAAACTGGTACTACAGGAAAGGAAGACACTCCTTTCCTGGTCCAAGCCCTTGTCCGCCCAGTGCCTCTGAAGACATTTCCCACTGTGCTATGCTAAGTCTAGAGATTTGTCCATCTAACCACAGCCCCTGACATGCGCAGCTTCCGCCAAGCAGCAGGTACTTGTCAGCACATCTGAAAACCTCAGTCATCACCGGTCAAGCGCACCGAGTGTTGAACAGATGTTGGGAAACAGGAGGAAGAATGAGCAGCGATTTCCCAATCTCCCTTTTCATCTTTTCTGTCCTTCAGTAGGAGTCATAAAAAAAACAAAACACAGTAAACCACACCTGCACAAAGGGTTCATTTCAGCCTAGGACTTTCCAAACATTCATGTTACAGAAGAAAAGCTATAATACAGTCAATGAAAAAGAACTGCTGGCATCACTTTCCCCCACAAAATTACATAAAAATGAACAAAACATTAAATAAACATTATTATTAATCATTAAATATATTAACACAAAAATCATGTATAAATTAGGAAATAAATGTACAAACTATTTCACAAAGTGCTTTTAAAAATATATACACAACATTCAAGAAATTCTTAATGTAAGACATTTCAGATTGAAGTTTTGGGGTGACACATTTTTAAGTGTTCTTTTTCAAAAAGTATTAATACAGCACTTCACATACATACTAGTACAGTACTTAACATACACATATACACACACTAATACAGCACTTAACATATAGACATACACACACATACACGCAAACACACACACACACACCTACACACACATTCACACATACATAAAAGGCATATTCCCAGATTGGCAAGGAATAAAAACCATTTTCACAGTTAGTTAAAATGTTTCTCGACATTTTTCAATGGGAAATTTTAGCCCCCAACTGGGCTTATAGACTTGTTCTATAAAAATTGCCAGAGAACAAAGGAGCAAAAGAGATGACTCCCTAAAATGAAGTTGCTAATATTTCTGTCACTTAGCGATCAGAAACTTGTTTCTGTGATGTTAATACCATCAGATCGTCAGCCCTTGCCAGTGTTAAATTTCCTAAACTCTATGCCACAAACACACACATGCCCAGGCTTGCTGATATCAGTCCTGTGCGAGAGGCGCGGGTGACCTGGAATAAGAATGTAGCCAACACAGACAAGTCCTCACGTCTGGCCCTTGATTCTTCTGTAAGTGAAAGACACCTTGTGCTCTATTTTCCAGCAAGGCTGTCAAAATTAATTCAGGCAAAACCCACAAGTGCCTTGTAAATCTTTACCCTCTGAGCTATAGGTAAGCTTTATGTTTCCAATGAAAACAGCAGAGTCAGGTGTGGTGGTGCATGCCTGTAGTCTCTGTGCTTGGGAGGGAGGTGGAGGCAGGAGGACCATAAACTTCAGCTCAGCCTCAGCTATGTAGTGTGTTTGAGGCCAGTCTGGGCTACATACAAAACACAACAAAAGCATCATGGTGGATAGGCCTGATGCAGCAAGCCCTGGTTCCTTGGATTTTTTTTTTTTTTTTTTTTGTATTTTCTTGTTTGTTCTTAGCACTTATCTTGAGGGTTTTTTTTTTTTTCCTTTTCATAGTAACATTATTATTATCCAAACAAAAGCTGACTGATGTTCATGCTACATTATATGTGAGTGGCACGATCGTACCTTTGATCGTACCTTTTCAAAAAGGCTGTCTCGCATGGTTGCACAGAATTAAAATCAGATTGAACATTCTAGGGATGTAAAAAACAAACAAACAAAAAAATCACTCAAATTTCACTATATAAAACTTGTACTTTTCGTTTAAAAGAACATAATTGGATTCATTAAAAAAATATGGTGTGGATTTCAGATTTCCCTCAACAGAAAGGAACACTTGCTTGGCAATCTGAACTCAGAGGTCCTGAAAAAGTAATATGAACACTTGCCAAAGGCTTGTAAAATTCAGCATCAGTACTGTAAATTCTCTTTACACTTAGGATTGGGCATACTCAAATCCTAGAAATGACATCAAATAAAAAGGGGCCAAGGACACTCTGTATATGAAGCAGCTGGTGGACAGTGAGCCTTGCTCTTCAGAACACCGTCCTCCCTAGGCTACCCGCACACTGCCCTCATGGACACATTTATTTGGAACACAGTCACCGATCCCTCTTTGTTTTCTAATACAAACACATATACTTTTTGGGATCGTGGGAACTAGAGAGACACAGGCAATGGGTGAGTTCTGGAAAGAACAGCTCATGGTCTCTCCACATGAAGCACATTTTCCTTGTTACAGTGACAACAAACTGGCCCAAGACACACAAGGTGTCCCCAAGCCCTATCTAGGCACAGAAGAGATGGCCACCCAGGGTTGTATGTATGTGTGTCAAGCTATGGGCAGCCAGTTAAAGAAACATTTACAGTCCACTTTGCAACAATGGTGTGAGAGGGGGCAGACTGGGTCTCTTCATGGTAACATGGACCACGGTGTCTTTTAGATATTGTCTCATCACTGGGCACAAAATATGTGATGACAGTTAAGACCCCCAAAGCTAGCTAATAACATCAAGGAGGGGGTGAGGGACAAAAACAGGACAACCTCTCCATTGTATCGATATACAATACTTTACACAGCACCAAATATGTCACACCATTGCAGCCAGTGGTGCACGTCTGGCATCATACCCAGCATGAAATGAGCCCGCTTCACATGCAGACATGGCATTGGGCAGAGGGTAACCAACACGTCACGACTCATCAGAACTGTCAGCGGCTTGTCCAGAACATACTACTGTGAAGGGTCCAAAGACAAGGCTTGTCCTTTATTGCTGGTAATTTCCATATTGGCCCTAAAAAAAATCCAAAACAAAACAAAATCAGACACGGATTACACCTCTACAGTCCTAGGTGGCAGGGTCTATACACCCAAACAACAGGAAGCTTCTTCCCATAGAACCCTGGACTACAGGTAGAAAGCAAACACAAAAACAAGTAGGTGACAGTCTGCTGAAATCCACGAAGTGAGAGCTAACACTTCTCCAATCCAGAGGTATCAACCTTTACTCGAACAGTCATGCCCCACTTTAGACAACTGTTTTCTTGACTGGATTGTTTTTTATCAGCTTTACTCACAGGCAGTGTGCCCTCAGTGATGTACTGGGCTCCTGGGAGGTAGAGCCTGGCCATGTGCCTAAGCAGACATCATGCTGGCCCTCCAGGAAAGGAATCCCCCAGTACCCTGAGCTACTTCAAGTGACTGATGGGGCAGCAGGGCTGATGCTACTATCAGCTTTCACTTAGTTTGCTCCTTTAGGAAATGGGGTTAGTGTGACCTAGTTAACAGGATCAATCAATACAAAGTCTGACGAAGAGAGAATTGGAGCTTGAGTCTAGTATGACTGCAGGGCAGGAAGCTAACAGAACCCTGCACCAGAGAGAGAATCTCCTGGAGGACTGTTGTTCTTACGGCCACAGGCATTCAACCCCAACTTCTCCTTCCCCCTATTGCCCCTAGGAGCCCATAGTGAAGAGTGAATGCAGAGCCTGTCTTAGAGGTCTCTGATGCCTATACCCAGGTGGGTGAAGCAGAGGGCACAGCAGGCCCTGAGTATAATCCTCAGCATAGAGTTACCCTGTGCCTCTCAGGTCAGCTAGTTCTTCCTGCAGTACCTGAAGCTGTTTCTGATCCTCAAAACTGGGGAGTAGGGTAGGGGAGTAGCTTCCATTTATGGGTAGAGGCTAGTGAGACTAGAAAACATACAATATATGCAAAACATTGTCTGTGCTTGACTAGGTCCATGGGCCAAATGACTTGGTTGGGACCTTGAGGCCCACAGCTAAAGCTCCAACAGGCTACATTAAAGGTCAGAGTAAGGACACTTTTCCCTGAGCTGTCACTGCTGTGTCTCCTCTAAAGGCAAGTGTAGTCATGACCCACAGTTCAGTCTGTAACTAAGTTAGCATGCCACTTGATGGTCCACAAATTCATGTTCTTTTCTGGACTCTGGGGAAGGTATCAGTGTCATCAAGTCCATCCTAGCAACGCTGGCCCCACAGTGGTTGTATACTGCTGCCTTCCTGGAAGCCAACCGGTCCTACCTATCACTTCTCAGGACCATAAGAGAAATCCTCGCCATGTTTCATTTGACACTTGGCAGACAGCACTGCCTGAAACACCCAGAAAGCTTGCCTGCTCATAGCCATAAGGCCTCTGCTGTTGGGCAGAAGGTCCTGTCTGCGATGCTCTGTAGCTTCCATACTGTTGGCCTTGTCCTTGCTGGTAGCTTGAGTACTGTGAGGGGGCTCCCTGGGCAGGGCCTGTGAAGACAGCAGAGGCTGTGAGACCACCTATGACCT